CCCTCTCTCCAAAAAGTTCATACTGCCTCTCGGCGAAGAATCTGGTGGGTGCAGGGCCCGGTCGCGCAAGGGTTCTCCGGCGTTCCCCGGTCCTGTCTCCCTGCGAGATGATTCCCGGGTCGTGTTTCCTTGCAATGCTTTGTCGGGGCTCCTTGTTCTCGCTTTCCTCGGGGTTCCCCAGGTTCCTGGGGTCCCTCGTGTAGTTTGTTTCTTCCCGACTTATGAAAGGCTGGCCTTCCTCGGGTTCCCTGGGATCCCCTGCTTCCTCAATATTGCGTCCGTTCTGCTTTCAGAGCCATTCGAAGCAATGCTAGATAACGCAAAGGAATGCCAAGCAAAGTCACGATGACCAGGCAATGCTAAGCAATGCCGAACAATGCAAGACAAAGCCGAGCAAAGCCAAGCGATACCAGGCAAATCAGAGTGTAAATCAATGCAAGGCAATGCTAAGCGATGCCAAGCAACGCAAATCATCGCCAAGCAATGCCTAGCGCAGCAAAACAAAGCAATGCCAAGCAATGCCAAGCAACGCAAAGCAACACAAAACAAGGCAATGCCAAGCCAGGCTATACGAAGCAATGCCAAACAATGTCGCTCGGGAGTCGTTCCCCTGATTGGGATTGCGCTGGATTCATTACCAGGGAAATGGGATCTACGGCCCCCGTTATCGATCCAGGATTCGAAAGACGCATTTTCCACGATCGGGCACGCGCGAAAAACACTCGTTCAAGCGGACATGCGACTTCACTGCATCAAGATCGGCCGACCCCCGCTTCCCGGGGTTGAAACGCCGTGTGAGATAACAGGCTGCCCCCCGTCCCCTGTCCCCCCGCCCTGGGGGTATGTTGTTCCCATCCTACTTAAAGACGGCATCCCAGAAATAATTTCGAGCACCCGGAGAAGTGTCAAAAGAGTGTCGAAAGAGTGTCGAAACAAGGTCGGGCGAGTGTCTCCCAGGGCCCGACCCGTGAAAACCCTGGAGTTTCGGTATCTGTTGGGGCGCTCGAAATTCTTCCTGGTGGTCAAGGCTAAACCAGGTTGGAGCATCATAACCCTCGGGTCCAGAATCCCTGTCAGAGGGGGCGGCGAGTGGGCAGGCACGAGCTTCCCAACGCACCTCCAGGGCCATGGGAGCCTCACAATCAACCACTCTGTGGCCGCCAAGGCGCCCAATCTGCTTCAAGATGGCCAGAGCGTCTCCAACGCTCCAGATAGGCCTTCAGAACATCCATGATTGCCTCAAGGCGGCCCAAGACGCCGACAGAGGGCCGCAAGAGCACTTCCAAGAGGTCCTCAAGATGCGAGCATGATTGATTCCACTTCGGTGATTGAGTGGTGTTCGCGTTCTCGTCTTGACGGGCGTCTGCGAGCCCTAGTCTGGCAGGAGGGCCCATAGAACGGCAAGAGAGGCGCGAGAGGCCCCCGAGACTGACAAGAGGCTCCCAATAGAGTTAAGTCAGGCGTGTCCCCCTACAGGGGGATTTTCTACGAATGTAAAAAAACTCAAACAATCCTCCCAAATGGTCAACAAATACTCAAAGATAGTCCCCAGGCTATTTTTTATTATTTTTGAATATTCCCTCTGTAGAGGGACAGGCCCGACTTAACAAGAGAGCCTGGAGACTGTCCACGAGAGCCCCAGGACGGCCCAAGTGGCTCGCAAGACGGCAGCAAAAACCCTCAAGAGGCCCCAAGACGGGCCCAAGATATGAGAGGGATCCCGCAGGGACCCTGGGAGCACTGGATCACAAACTCGTGCAGTAAAGCACGCTGGGTCCCAGGGCTAAGATCTGTCGTATAGTGCGCGGCATCCACGCTACCAGGGCCACGACCGAATGCAACTGAAAGGAATCTGCACTCCAGGGCCATGAGCCCTCCCAATGTTCCGCGCTCGCAGGGTCAAGACCCGTGGAAAACCAGAACGCGCAACGGAGCCGACGATCCCTTGCACATTAGGGGGGCAACCTATTCCCTGGGTCTCTTTCACGATGGCGGAAGTGCGCTGCTGGACACACTGTGTCATGCTTATGGCGGAGAAGCGGGGAAACGAGGAGGAGAGCGAGGAAGGGACGGGGAGGCAAACGAGGGAGATAAAGGAATCACGACTACGCTGCAATGTTCTTGGCGGCATGCGGAAGAGCATGCGAAAACTGCACCTCGCCAAGCTGGCGCGATGTCGCTCGCCCTGCAGATACAACCAGCGCGCACACTGGCGGACAAACGGCCCGGAAAATTAGACATGGAGGGCGAAGGCCGCAGTGCCAGTTGGAACGGGCAGCAGGTTTCTCGGGGCGGGCAAGGCGTTCTATGTTGTCGGGCACGCATTCCGGGAGGCTGGCGGAAGTTGCAATGGCGCGCCACAACTAGTGGCCTCCCAAATGGGGTCGCAGGATCACGCCGCATCGCCGGAGACGTCGGCGGTGCATCGGCGACGTCGGCACGGAGAACTCGGGCTCCACATCGAGCCGCATCGCCGATGCATCCGCGATGCGGCGCGAGCCTCGGAACCCGTCGACTCGGACCCCTGGGAGGGCAAAAACAGCGCGGCCAGGTGGTTCCTTCCCGCCCGCTCGACATCGGAACCGCGCGCTCTTCAATGAAGCCACTCGGCGCGCGAGGCGGCGCAGGCGCAGGACACACCGACCGTGTCTGGCCAGCTCTCGCGCCCGTCCTCAACCTCGGACTCCTCGGGGCCGCGGGCGGTGGCGTGGGAGCCAGGCATTGGCCACGCGGGGCCAGGGCCTCTGGCGGAGCGCACGGGCTGCTAGAACCACGCGGGGCGCGGGGCGGCGCAATCGTCGCACTCGCTGTCCGTCTCTGGCCACCCCCTCCGCCACCTCCCCTGCTTTCCTCCTCCCGCCTTGCTTCTGGTCCTCCCCGGCCCCTCCTCCTCGTCCTGCCTTCCCCTCCCTCCTGCCCCCCCCTTCTTCGACGCCCCAATCCCCCCGACCCCCCCCCCCCCCCGCGATCCTTCATGCCCCACATTCTCCCTCACACCTTCCCGCCGCCCCCTCCTCCTCCGACCTCCCCCTCTCTCCATCACCCTCCTGTTCCACGCCACCCCTGGAGAGACACGAAAAGGTACGGATACCCCAAGTCTCCGGACCGCCCCCAGGGTGCACTCTGACCAGAGTTCCGAGGCGAATCCAGCCGTGGCGACGAGGGCCTCCCAGGAGGCCCCCAGACGCGAAAACAAGTCCAGGGCGTCGGTGTTGGTAGAGTTTCCTCCTCCTGCTCCTGCTCCTGCTCCTGCTCCTGCTCCTGCTCCTGCTCCTGCTCCTGCTCCTGCTCCTCCTCCTCCTCCTCCTCCTCCTCCAACTCCGCCTCCTGCTCCTGCTGCTCCTCCTCCTGCTGCTGCTCCTCCTCCTCCTCCTCCTTACCCCCCCGCATCCTCGGAGCAGGCCCGTCTCGGGGTCCAGACACCCAGGCTTTCGGGCTGCGTCCAGGCGCGGGACGAGAGCTACCCCCGAAGGCCAAGCGCCCCCCTCGGACCGTATCCTCCAAACGTTGCCCGTTGTGGTTCCCGGGTCATCGCTCGGGCCTCCAGCGGCCGTTCGGAACGATCCAGGCGCCCCCGGACGACTTTCGGCGAGGCGCAGCTGCCGAACGCAGCCCGACGCCAGAAAACCAGCCTGAGCCCAGTAAAACGCCAGAAAACCTCGAACTCCGAAAACCTCGAACCCCCCAAGCTGGGTCACCAACGCTGTCCTGCCTTGGAAGCCTGCGGGCCGCTGCCCCCGACCCAGGCGACGGAAGAGCAAGCGCGGTGGCGCCGAAAAGCAACATCAACGCGCCCTCCAGGCCCGCTTCGGCCACCCGTGGGCCAGCGCAGACAAGGGGGAGAGGAGGAGGAGGAGGAGGAGGAGGAGGAGGAGGAGGAGGAGGAAGAGGAGGAGGAGGCTGAGGAGAAGGACGATCATGAGGAGCAGGAGAAAGAGGAGGCGGAGGAGGAGGAGGAAGAGCAGAAGGGGGAGGGAGGAGGAATATGAGGAGTAGGAACAAAAGCAGGGAAAAGAGAAGGAGTGAGGAGGAGGAGGAGGCTGGGGAGGAGGGAGGAGGGGCCCGAGGATGATGATGATGAGGAAGATGATGAGGAGGAGGAGGGCGAGAAAGGGAGGATGATGATGATGATGATGATGATGAGGAGGAGGAGGAGGAGGAGGAGGAGGAGGAGGAGGAGGAGGAACAAAGGAGGAGGTCAGGGGGGGGGGGTGTAGGGGAGGAAAAGGGGAAAGGGGGAAGGGGACACTGGAAAAAAAAGGGAAAAAAGGGGGGGGGGGGGTAAAAAAAGAAGGGGGAAGAGGAGGAGGACGACAGGAAATGGAGGAGAGAGAACGACGAAAGACGGGGGGAATGGAGGGCGGGGCAAGAGCCCCCTCCTCGCTCCTCCTCGAGCCCCGCCCCCCCAGCCGTCCCGAGGAAAAATAAAAGAAAAGGCGCCCGCCCGTCCGCGCACGCGGGCTGCCCCAACCGCGCGGCGCAGAAAGCGCCCGCGTCTGGCGGGTCCGCAGTGGACAGCAGCGCCGGCAGAGCCAGCAGCGCCAGCGGGTGCCTCGTGGGCCCCCGGCGGCCTGCAGGGCCGAGAGGCCGCCTCGGCAGGGGCGCGTCCCTCCCTGCCCGTCCTCCTCCTCCTCCTCCCTCCTCCTCCTCCTCCTTCTCCTCCTCCCCTCCTCCTCCTTCTCCTTCTCCCTCCTCCTCTTCGGGCCTCGTCTTCCTCCCTCCTCCTCCTCCTCCTCCTCCTCCTCCTCCTCTCCTCTTAGCCCTCTCGGCCTCCTTTTTCCCCCTCCTCATCCTCATGTTCCTCCTCCGCTCTCCTCCTCCCCCTACTCCTCCTCCCTTCCTTCTCTTCCTCCTCGGCCTCTTTTTCCTCCTCTTCCTCCTCCCCTCCTCCTCCTCCTCCTCCTCCTCAGATTTCCTCCTCCGCTCTCCTCCTCCCCCTCCCCCTCCCTCCCCCCCCCCTCCTCCTCCTCCTCTTTTTTTCCTCCCTCCTCCTCCTCCTCCTCCTCCTCTCCTCCTTCCCCCTCCTCCTCCTCCTCCTCCCCGTCCTCCCCCTCCTCCTCCTCATCATCATAATCAGCAGCATCATCACCATCATCATCATCGTCATCATCATCATTATCATCATCATCATACTTATCATCACCACCCGTATCGGCATCATCAGCATCATGATGATCAACACCATCACCATCACCCGCATCATGCTCATCACTTCCAGCATCACCATCACCATCACCATCATCATCATCATCATCATCATCATCATCATCAGCAGCATCACCATCATCATCATCATCATCATCATCATCATCAATATCAGCATCAACAAGCTTATCATCCCCATCTGCATGATCACCACCGTCATCATCACCATCAGCAACACCAGCAACTTCAGCAACAACCTCATCAACACCATCAACATTATCATCGACATCAGCACCATCATCATCATCATCATCATCATCATCATCATCATCATCATCATCATCATCATCATCATCATCCTCAGTTGCCGTTATCATCCTCAACAACACCAACATTAACATCCTCCTCCTCCTCATCCTCATAACCACCATAATCGTCATCATCGGCTGCAGCATAATCAATATCAGCACCGACATCATCATCATCATCATCATCACCATCATCAGCATCATCATCAGCATCATCATCAGCGTCACCATCACCACCATCACCAGCACCATCATCATCAGCAGCATCAGCACCATCATGGCACCTGCGCCACTGGGACCCATTCCCTGAACATCAGGCGGGTAGCAGCCCGATCGTCACCCTTGTTTGCCCGTAGAGGGCCAAGGGGAGAGAAAATTGCTCCTCGTCGCCAGCGGCCACCCATGGAGTGGGCGGTGGGTAGGTCGGGCGTCGGAGCACGGCCTCCTGCGCCCCCCGCAACGGGCAGGGAGCGCGGAGCACGGCCTCCTTGCGTGCCCTGACTCGCGAGCTCGCGGAGCACGGGCTCCTCCTGGTCCTGGCCACGGGGGCACGTGCCCCGTCGGGTGGCCCGCAGGACCTGCGGCTGATGCGTAGAGGTTTCCTGTCCTCGCTGGCGCAGCGCGCCCCTGGGCGCGCGGGAGGGGCACCGTTCCTGTGCTGCCTGGCACCATCTCAGTGCGTGGCCACGAAATGCGGGCACCGGAGGGCCCGTCCGTGGAGCCTGCCACTGGCACGCGTGGAGAGTTGTGCGGGCATCGGTGGCACGGCAGTCGGCGGCGAGTTGTGGTGGGCGCGAGCGTTTCGGTTCCGACCCCCCTTGGGGAGCTGGATCATCATCGTCGTCATCATCATCATCACCATCATCATCACCATCCCTCAGCTCGGCTGAAAGATGGGTGGCTCGCAATGTGAGTGGGGGACAGCTCAGGATTGCCAAAGCTGATAGTTCTGGTGAGAGAGTGATGGAGTCATCGGCTGGTGTGGCCATTGCATCCTTCTCCCCCGAACTTGGGCGCGATGCACCCCCCGCTCTTCGCGAGGATCTACCTGCCAGTCACCGCCAGGTGGTTGCGATCAACGCGGGGGTCTCTATACCAATGTATCAATTTCGGTCTACGTGACGACAAATATTGGCTTGGTAGAGCCGGATGCGTCCTTCCTGGGAGCGCCGCTGCAGCTGGCACCCTTGCTCCCAGGACCATGGATCGTCGGGGGTGACTGGAACTTGGAGCCTCAGGATCTACAGAAGAGGGCTCGGCGAGCGCGCGGCGCAGTGGCATCAACGGAGGACCCAACCTGTGGCAGCAGGAGGCTGGATTTCGTCATCTGCTCCAAAGTCCTAGCAGGCATGGGCATGGAGGTGCAAGCGGCGTTTGGCACGCCGATCAGCACGCGCGCGCCAGTCTTGCTCAAGTTGAGGGGGCTTAACTTGATAGCTGTGGTGACAGCAGCAGATGGCCCAGAAAGGTTTCCTTTTCAGCTTCCACCGCCGACGCGGCCCGCGCCGCGCGAGGTTGGCGAGGAAGAGTGGCACTGGGAACCAGGCGCGGAGCCGTGGGATATCCAGCAGGCCGTTGAGTACTGGTTCTTGCGCGTGGAGGACTCTCTGTCAGCTGCATGGCGTCCACGAGAGGCGGCGGGAACGCGCTGCAGGCCTCGAGCTGAAGCGCACTCCCCTGGCGCAGGAGTGGAGAACACAGTTTAGGGCAAGATCGTCACTGGAGTTCAGGCGCGCGGCATCCCTCGCGGCGGCAGCTAGACGAGCAGCCCAGCAGAAAACCCACATGCTGGAGCGAGGTTGGCCCAGGTTCTCCTTCTTGAACCGACAGCTGCAGGTCATCGAGGGCTTCGTGATTGAGGACAGCTGGTGGCCGTCGTTTGGAGCTCTGGCAAAGATGGCCATCAGCAAAGCGGTCACGGCGCTGCGGACTGGCAACGCCTCCGGTCGGGCACATGCTGGAGGCAATCGACGAGCGCCCGGTGCAGCTACGGCAGCGAGACATGCAGGCCAACCAGAGTGAGGGGAAGGCGTGGGCATGTGCAGCTGCCAACGAGAAGGCCAGCAGCGCGGCCTTCGGCTTCATTCGTTCTGGGAATCAGGTGCAGCCGTCGGTCTTCGAGGTGCTCGGCGAGGAGCAGGTCAGGAGCAGCGCGCGCCGCCGGGGGGAGATGCCGCCATGGAGAAGCTGATGCAACAGTGGGGCCCGCTGTGGAGACGCGAGCTTCGGCGAGATGAGGCGCGTCCATACACGTGGAGAGGAGAGGAGTTCGAAGCCTCATCGATGCCTAGGCTCACGCTTCAGGACCTGAGGAAGGTTGTAGACACCTAGAGCGACAAGGCGGGCCTTGGCTGGGATAAGATGCATCCCAGGCAGCTGCGGTGGCTGCCGATGAGGTACCAGTCGAGGTTCCTGAACGCGCTGCATGCCTGGGAGCGGGGCCCGATCGACAGCAGCCTCTTCCCCATTCCGATCTCGCTCCTGCCCAAGCCCCCACCATGGGGAGGAGTACGGCCGATTGTACTCAACTGCCCCTGGCTGCGACTGTGGAGCCGTCTCGAAGGTGTCTTGGCAAGACGTGCGATCGAGCAGGACACGTTCACAATCTGCTTGCTCCGCACTGCGTGCAGGTGGAAGGCGTGGCCTCTGGCACGGCCGCGCCGGATCTCAGCAGGTGCAATGATCACGTGTCGCATGGCATCCTTCGTCGTGAAGCGAAGGCGACCAAGTTTCCTCTGGCGCTGCTGCGGGCACTCTGCTGCGCCTACAGGCTCGGTCGACGAGCGCAGCATCTTGTTGCGCTCTCAGTGGTGGTTCATTCTCACGGCGCTATTGCAGCGGGCTGCAGCTGTGCTCTCGGCTTGGCTAAGCTGATGGTTCACACATTGTTGATGGAGAAAGTTCGTCGGTATCATCTGGTGCGAGCGCAGTCTCTCGTTGATGATCAGTTGCTACAAGCTTTTGGCACTGCCAGATTGGTTCCAGCTGCCCTTCGGTTTCTGGCGGATGGTTTCACGGAGCGCAAGCTGCAGGTCAATTGGGACAAGACAGGCTGGCTCACAGGCGACGCCGAGCTCGCAGGCATCCTCGCCAAGTCCTGGGATGGGGAGCTGAGCGTGCCAGGGGCCTCCGCTGCTTGGGTGGCGATGGCTCGTCAGGGGTGCTGCGCAGCGCTGTGGGGCAAAATCAGCGTCTTTCGCAAGCTCAGAAGTCGGCTGAGCGCGTGCATGCCCTGAGGGCTGCGGGCGCCAAGGTTGAGAAGATCTTCCGGTGCTCGCCTGCGGCGACTGCTGCCTGGGGCTCAGCGGCGACAGGAAATTGCCGACGGGAAGCTCGAGCTCTGAGAGTGGCGGCCCCGAGGTCTGAGAGGGGGGGCCTCCTGCAGTGGCCGGCGCAGGGCTCAGCATTAAGATCGTGTGCCGAGGGTTCTGGAGGGGCCCGCTCCTGATCCACGCGGGAGAAGTTGTCGAAGCCCGGGCTGCCCTCTTGGAGACCTCTCTGCCGTCTGAGCGGGTGCTCGAGTCGGTGCTGGAGGGGAGGCGAGCGATTCCCAGGCAGAAGGCTCGCTGCGGCAAGTGTCGCAACCCTGCCCAGGCCCTCCTCCTAGCCCTCGCCCGCGTTGGAGGAGGCATGGCCTCTGCCGCCAAGCTGTTTGGGCCAGAAGGGGAGGTGGAATTGAAAAGTTTCTCTCCTGGGCGGGCGGTCGAGGTTGCGCGGCGCATGGCCTCGGTCGCATCCGGCATCCAGGTGATGAGTAAGCTAGGGAGCTGGGTTTCCGAGCTGCACTGGAGGCCTCTTAATAGAATCCTGCACGGCAAGGCCGACAGAGGCCTTTCTCGGCATGAGCGCAACCTGGTTCGTAGTTTGGTTTCGGGCACCCACTGGCCTCGTGCGAGGCTTGCTAAGAACAAGACATAGGTGTGTGATAAGTGTCTTCTGCATGGCTGCAGGGGCACGCTCTTCCACCGTGGATCTGACTATCCGTGTTCAGCGGAGCTTCGCAGGACTGACCGCCCCCCCCCCAGCCTTCGCGACGCCGCCTGGAATGTGGCCAGTCTTGGAGCGGAGGAGGCGGAGCTCCTTTCCAGGTGCCTGTTTCCCTCCCCCGAGCACTGCTTTGGGAAGCCCGAGGCCCCTGAAAAAAGATTGGGTTCGCGTTGTCGGGGCCATCCCAGGCTGCCGCTGGGGGGGCCCATCTTCGCAGACGGTTCAGCGCTTTATGCCAAGTTCGGAGCCTGCCGTACGGCTGGCTGGTCTGCGGTCCAAGTTGACAGCGGAGGCAATTTCGCTGCCTGCACGTATGGGGTGGTTACTCGGGGGTGGGGGCCTGACCAGTGGGCGCGGGATGGGGAAGACTTCCCGTTTCACATGCTGGCTAGGTTGAGTGAAACCCCGTGCGACGGAGACACAAGGTGTTCCGCTTGCAGTGTTCAACGATTGTGCTGGTTCTGTGGCGTGTGCCACCTCCTCGTCCACTGCCGTGGGTCCCGACAACAGTCGCCGCCACGTGTGGAGGCTCTGGTGATCCAAACAAAGTCGAAGACACA